TGGGAATGATAGAATAAAAAGGTAGATTATTGAACCTACTTTTATATTAAAAAGCAACTACTAGTCTCAAATATTTTACATTGATGTGGATTTTTATATATTGATACAGATTTAAGGTTATTTTTGTTATACTGTATATATGTTTCTACTCTTGTTTAAGGTATTGTACTCATTCAGCTCTAAAAATATAATCTATAATTAAGAATTACAGGTTAATAGTTACTCATCTATAATAATCAAACTTGTAGTCATGTTACATATGTTTTCAAGATCAAACAGATATATTTTAGATAGATAGATGGTCTTCAAACACTTCAGAGATGTACAGAATATGGCATTTTTTTTTTTTTTGGTTTTTCGAGACAGGGTTTCTCTGTGTAGCTTTGTGCCTTTTCCTGGAACTCACTTGGTAGCCCAGGCTGGCCTCGAACTCACAGAGATCCGCCTGGCTCTGCCTCCCGAGTGCTGGGATTAAAGGCGTGCACCACCACCGCCCGGCGAATATGGCATTTTAAATGTTTAATAACCTAAGGTTTTCCATGACAATGAGACATGTCTGTTCCTGGCAGCAACAATTTACTTCAAAAAAGGATGATGGGCCTCAAAGAACCTCCATATGGAGTTTGCCTTCAATGTGGCAAAGCTAGCCATCTGTGCAAGAATCTGCCCTTGTCTCGACTGCTGACAGTATGCTGTTCAAACTGGATGAGCAGAACACAAAAGAAGGCAACTGCCAAACTTTGCCAAGACAAGGTAGGACAGTCCTTCAAAATTCACAGAAAAGTCTTCCAGATAGTCTAGGCCTGTAGGCTGAAGATGGATGTCCCAAAATTGCAGAGGAACCTGGGGTGACTTTCCAGGCAGCCAGCTGTCTCTGTCATTTCCTTAGTTTTGGAAGTTGTTTGCTCTATACTTCCTGTTTACTCAGGTAACATTTTATCCTTCTCGGGTCTCTGATGGAGATGAAGATGAGATAGTTATACTTTTACAGTTTTCCTTGTTACCAAATTCAAATAAGAAACTTACATAAGAGATGTAAGGCTTATAAGTTGAGAAACATAAAAGCTTAAGGTGTTTTTTCGTCTAAAAAGGTATTTTTAGGATGGTAATATAAGTTATGATAAAAAATGGTTTAAGTATAAAACTTTGACTCACTAAGATAGGATATATAATACAGCACTTTCTCCCAAATTTGCCAAATACATATGGACTAAACATTGTGAATGTAAATTCTTACCTAATAATTGTTCTTATTGTATATAGTTTTACTGTATTAGAGTTAAAACCTTTCCTTTTTATTTAGATAAAAAGGAGGAAATGTTATGGGATATTTGTACATTGTGTGAAGATGTATTGCTGTGATTAGTGTAATAAGCTGAATGGCTAATAGCTAGTCAGGAGAGATAAGTGGGACTTCTGGGCAGAAAGAAATCTCTGGGAAGAAACATGGAGGGAGTCAGACATACAGAATGAAAGAAAGGTAAAAAACTACATGGTAAAATGTAGACTAATAGAAGCAGGTTAACTTAAGTTATAAGAGCTGGTGGGACAAGCCTAAGCTAAGGCTGAGCTTTCATAATAAGTCTCCATGTCATCACTTGTGCTCTGGTGGCCCAAAGGAAAATCCAACTACAGTAATTGCTATCTGGTGCTGGGAAGATGGTTCAGTGAGTAAGAGTTTTCAGCACAAACACAAAGACCTGAGTGTAAGGTCTCTAAGAAACTCCAGATAAGTCTCACTCAGTACCTGTGTCTCCTCCCAGCTCTTCTCACCCTGCCCTCTACCCTAAACCTCCACAGCCCAGGGGTTAGGCATCCAATTTCCTCCCCCCAGCTTCTCTTCCTTATATAATTCAGTCATTTAGGTTACATACCCTCTTGGCTCCCAGCCGGCTCTGCTCCTGGACCTCTCATGGCTCACTCTTGGCCTCTGAGTCCACATCTCTTCTCTTGCCCTCTCTTGCCCCCTCCCTTCTCTTCCTTTCCCACTCCCTGCCCCTCAGTCTGGTTCATTCTGGACCCTTCCAGTTGCCTCTTGCTGTTTTCTCCCTCATTTATACAATAAATCCTCTCAACCATACCTTAGGAGTGGTCATGACCTCATTTTCATTCAGAGTTCAAATCACAGGTATCCATGTAAAAAGTGGACATGGTCATAAACCCTGGAATTGTGTGGGACTGGGAGAAGATTGTCTCAACAGCTTGCTGGCTATCTGTCTAACTCCAGATCCACTAGAAGGTCCTTTCTCAAGAGAATAAAATGGAGAGTGATAGAGCAGGACACCCACCATCCTCCTCTGGCCTCAGTTCATGGTTATGCACATTCTCATTTACACATGTGTATACATTATCCCCATATATCACACACATACATACAAACACACCAAAAAATATTTGGACAGGTAACCACCTTTCTAATACACTTTAATACATTGATCTCAAACATACACTTTTCACTCTTTTTTTTTTAATTTTACTTTTTTATTTTTGAGACAGGGTCTCTATTATGTAGCTCTGGCTGTCCTGCAACTCACTATGTAGACTAGGCTGGCCTGGAACTCACAGAGATCCACCTACCTCTGTCCCCCTCTAGATTTAAAAGCATGTACTACCACTCCCAACCTCACTCACATATATTTAAGTAAGATTTATTATTATTATTATTATCATTATTATTATTAATAATGAGTGAGTGAGTGAGTGTGTGTGTGTGTGTGTGTGTGTGTGTGTGCCCACCCATACATATGAGCATTGTTGTCCATGGAGGCCAGGAAAGGGTACCTAATCTCCTAGACTTGCAGTTGCAGGCAATTGTGAGCTGCCCCATGTGGGTGCTGGGACCTGAACCTGGGTCCTCTGCAAGAGCAGCTGAACAATCTGTTTGTTTCTACTGTTTTCTTGTTGTGATCTTGCAAGTTCTGTAACTTACACAGCAACAGTCACACATTAGTTTCTTCTTTGTTAGTTCATTTAAAGGATACTATTTGCAAGCACTTGCAACTCTGAAAGCTTGTTTATCAAACAGTCCTTTCTATCTTGCCATTACTCCAGCATCTCCCTTGACAACAAAAAATTACCTAAAGCACTGTACAATTTTTCATCATAAAAGCAATAAAGCCAAGCCATCTGATTAGCAAAAGCCTCGTCCCAGAGGCCCAGTTTGCCGGAAGAACCACTTACTGTAAAGTCAAAATGTTTGCTATTGTTTTTAAAAATGTTGAAAACATTTGCCAAGACAATTTCCATTTGTTGGCTTTGAATTCAACAGTCAGTCAAATGCTTAATATCTAACCCAAAAGCAGAATACAGAAAAAAAAAAATCAGTACTATTTAACTCACTTAGTAAACATTTATCAGAACTGCTTGTCAGGCCACCACTTAAAATAGAAACTTGAGCCTTATCAGAAACCGAACTGTTCAGGCCCCGAGTCATCCTGTGAGAGCTAGCTGCCGGTCACGTTCATCACGAGGAAAGTCCACATCTGGAAATGCCTCACAGAGCTTTCAAAGCTCAAGAAAGGAAAAGTGACATCATGCACTCAGCTGCATCTTACCAAAACCTCGGAGATAAGTTTTAGTTGAGTTTGTTTTTCTGGCTGTTACAAATAGGATGGTTGCAACAGAGGTGTCAGATTGCTTCTCTCCATGTCAGCTTCAAGTTCAAATTTAGGAAGCTGTTCTTTTCCCTGCAGAACATGTTGTACAAATTTAACAATAAACTTCTAGGCCATAAGCACATTTTAACAGATCTAAATTTTGCCTCTGTTGTTCTTTTTCACATTTCATTCTAGGGACCTGGTGGAAGTCATTGTTATTATCATGATCCACTGGGCGTAAAATAACTTACCCTAGCCGGAATTTGGAAGAGAATTTCCCGGAAACAACATGGCATTGGTTTTGTGTGTGACTATGTGCATGTTTTTGTTTTTGTTTGGTTTGGTTTTTGCTTTTTCGAGACAGGGTTTCTCTGTATAATAGCTCTAGCTGTTCTGGAACTTGCTTTGTAGACCAGGCTGGCCTTGAATTCACAGAGATCTGCCTGCCTCTGCCTCCTGAGTGTTGGGATCAAAGGCGTGCACCACTATCACCAGGCTGAGTACATGTTTTTTTTTTTTAATGTGCCTGTGTACTCAGAGGCCAGAGGTTAGGAGATGTCTACCTTGAAGTTTTGGGTTGTTGTTGGGGGGGGCAGTTATGTTTTGTTTTGTTTTCTGGCAGGGTCCCTCACTAGAACCCATGGCTGATTAGACTAGGCTGGGTAGTCAATAAGTCCCCAGGATCTGCCTATCTTTACCTCCCCAAGGCAGGAATTAGAAGCACGCATGGCCATCCTTGTCTTTTACATGTGTGCTGGGGCTCAAACTCGGGGCTTCATGCTTGTGTTGCAAGGACTTTACCAACTGAGGCATCCCCCAGCTCCATGTTCTTGGTTTTGAGTATTCCTAGCAATGAACAGTCTTTTTAGTAATATATTGTATTAATTACTTTCCTGGTGGTCAGGACAGAAATATCTGACACAAAGCAATTTAAAAGAACAAGGAGTTTAATCTGGGTCACAATTAAAGGGTACAGAGCATCATGGTAGGGAAATCAAGGCAACATGAGCTTGTGTAGCTATTTGTACTGAACACAGCCAAGAAACAGAGAGTGATGAATGCTATGCTCAGCTTGCTGTCTCTTTTTCAAGGACTAGAAAATTGCATTACATTGTTAAATGAGTTGTATAGGTACAATATCTTGAACAAGATTAGAAACGTATGCACAGTATGTTCTGACAAAAATAATCTCAAATTTGTATACAATATACAAAAATCCAATCCAATGTAAAATATTTGAAACTAGTAGTTGCTTTCCAAAAGTAGATTCAGTAATCTATCTTTTTATCTTATCATATCTATATCCTCCCCTTTTTCTTTTCAGAGTAGATTCAATAATCTACCTTTTATCTTATCATTTCTATATAATACATTTATAGATCATGTCCCCCTTTCTTCTTTTAGAATGTGGTTGACTATGACCAATAACAATTTTTTTTTTCTTGCGCAGGGGCCATGCTAATCTTCTCTGTATCGTTCCGATTTTAGTGTATGTGCTGCCAAAGTGAGCACCAGTAACAATTTGTAACCACCTCCTAAACAAAGACAAACAATCATAATCCATTTTTGGGGGGGAATGTGGGCGTAGTTTTCTAGGCTACTTCCTACTGATTGGGGGCACTAGTAGTCTTATGGAGATACAAAGAAAATCTAGGATTATGATCAAGTCCTGACTGGAGTAGTCTGTGAGGCTGTATCGTCTCAGCTAGCCATCTTGACCTTGTCCTGAGTTTGTAGTCCAAAGCCGACCTTTGGGTGGTGTTTGTCAGTTTGGTGGTGTTATCATAGTCCTAAGTGGAATCGTCTTGTGGGAGTCTCCTCATCATTTTGAAGACTTCCAAGAGTACATTAGGTCAGATTATTTCTCTTTTTGGTAATTTCTTCCAGAAGTTCTTCCTTCTTCTTTGGATGCTTATTTGTCCAAGGGTCTTTAAATTCCTCAAGATGGTTGTTTTTATTTTCCTGAAAAGACAAAAACAAAACCCTTCCCCAACCATAACTTTCAGGAGTTTCCAAATCTAATCTTTATCAATTTTGATATAGGGTTTCTCCTTAAATTTTTGTTTTATTTTCTATAGTTGTTCTATCACCCAGAGCAATTTTTTTTTTACAACAGGCATTAGGTTCTTTAATTGCTCTAAGAATGAGTTTCTTCCATGGTGACAGGAAAGGACTGAACATGATTCTTTCAGGATTTTAGGTTTGAGTGACCTTAATTTTCATTGAAAAATAGAGGGTGGTGGTGGCGGTGGCGGCGGTGGCGGCGGCGGCGGCGGCGGCGGCGGCGGCAGTGGCGCACGTCTTTAATCCCAGCACTCAGGAGACAGAGGCAGGTGGATCTCTGAATTTGAGGCTAGCCTGGGGTACAGAGTGAGTTCCAGGAAAGGTGCCAAAGCTACACAGACAAACTGTCTCAAAAAACAAAAACAAACAAACAAATAAACAAAAAAACCAAAAACCAAAACTAAACAAACAAAAAAAGGAAAATAGAGCAAAGCACAATATCCCCCTCACAATCAGTCTTTTTATCTCCACAGGAAATAGCTACAAGGCTAGACTCTGGCTTCAGGTCTCCTTGTTTCCAAGTGTGCCTCAGTTTCCTAACTCAAATCCCTTACTCATGTGTGACCCCTAAGATCAGGCCTATACTGTGGTGACATATTGTGTACCTTAATAAACTTTGGCTGAAGATCAGAGAATAGAACAAGCCACTAGATTAAACACAGAGGCCAGATAGTGGTAACCCACACCTTTAATCCTAGCACTTGGGAGGCAGACATCCATCTGGATCTCTGTGAGTTCAAAGCCACCCTGGACTACATGAGATTGACTGAGTCTAGGAGAGAAACAGAGGCAGGCAGTGGTGGTGCATATCTTTAATCCCAGTACTTGGGAATCACATGCCTTTAATCCAAGCACTTGAGATCTCGTGCCTTTGCTTGGGAATCACACAAGCCTTTAATCCCAGGAAGTGATGGATGAGCAGAGAAAGCTATGTAAGGTGTGAGGAGACAGGAACTAAAGGCTTTTTCAGGTTGAGGAGTCCTAGAAGTAAGATGTGGCAGTGGCTTGTTCCTTTGTCTCTCTGATCTTTCAACATTTACCCCAATATCAGGCTCCAGTCTCTGTTTGATAATACAATTGATGTTCTGAAAATGGAACAATTAAATGAGGGGATAATTAATGTTAATGGGATTTATGTAATGTCAGTTACAAATATTGTTTGTTTGATCATTTCTGTTTTATCATTTAAAAAGTTGGTTAATATGAATACCAGGATAAAAGGTTTTTTTTTAATTTTTTTATTTTATAATTTGATTTAATTTTACATATCAGCCACGGATTCCCTTGTTCTCCCTCCTCCCGCCCCCCTTGCCCTCCCCCCAGCCCACCTCCCATTCCCCTCTCCTCCAGGGCAAGGACTCCCCTGGGGATTCAGCTCAACCTGGTAGATTCAGTCCAGGCAGGTCCAGTCGCCTCCTCCCAGGCTGAGCAAAGTGTCCTTGCATAGGCCCCAGGTTCCAAACAGCCAGCTCATGCACTAAGGACAGGTCCCAGTCCCACTGCCTGGGTGCCTCCCAAACAGTTCAAGCTAATCAACTGTCTCACTTATCCAGAAGGCCTGATCCAGTTGGGGGCTCCTCAGCTGTTGGTTCATAGTTCATTAGACTTACCAAGATAAGATAGAGGATAAAATATTTCTCTAATTTTGTCAAATACAAATAGACTAGATACTGTAACTTTAATTCTTATGTGATAACTGTTTTTGTTGTATGTAATTTTACTATGTTAAAGTTAAAACCTTCCTTTTTTATTTAGACAAAAAGGGGGAAATGCTGTGAAACAATCCTTTTCTACACTATGAATATGTATTACTCTCACTGGCTAATAAAAAGCTGATTGGCTAACAGCTGGGCAGGAAGAAATTGAGCAAGAGAGCCAGATACAAAGAACTCTGGGAAGAGAAAGGGTAGAGTCAAGGAGATGTCAGGCAGCTGCCAAACAAGCAGGACATATAGAAAATTAGGTTAAAAAAAAAGAAAAGAAAAGAAAAAAAGAAGTATGGGTTAATTTATGTGTAAGAGTTAGCTAGTAACAAGCCTGAGTTATTGGCTGAGCATTTGCAATTAATATAAACCTCTGTGTGGTAATTTGGAAACAGCTCCCAGGATGGGAAAACTCTACCTACAATTATTATTATTGTTTAAGAGATAAATAAATTTTATTTTGAGGTAGCGTCTTGCTATGTGGCCAGGCTATCCTTGAACTTGCTTTCCAACTCAGGTTGACCTCAGTGCAAGAGTCCTCTGATCTATCCTCTGGAGCTCGGGGATTACAAGTCAGTGAGTGTTACCACACCTGGTTCAAGAAATAACTCTTAGCCAGGTGTAGTGGCGCACACCTTTAAACCCAGCACTCAAGAGACAGAGGTAGGTGGACCTCTGTGAGTTCAAGGTCAACCTCGTCTACAAAGCAAGTTCCAGGACAGCCAAGGCTCTGTTACACAGAGAAATCCTGTCTTGAAAAAAAAGAAAGGAAGGAAGGAAGGAAGGAAGGAAGGAAGGAAGAAAGAAAGAAAGAACTCTTGTTTCCAAACACTATAACAACACATGCCTAACCTGATTCTAATCAGAATATTAATAAGAACTTAAGGTTAATCACCCTTCCATGTGTGTCTGTGTGTGTGTGTGTGTGTGTGTGCTTTCTGTGGTTATCAGTAAAAGGGTAAAAGGGCATTATCCAGTATTTCCAGAAGTTTGAGTTTGTTTCTGTAACAGTTTAATCCTGGTCTATTTTTATACAAACCATAGGGAATAAGAACTGGGAAACGTGTCTCTAAGGACACATATTAGAGTAAGATTTTCTTCTTTTTTTTTTTTTTCTTTTTGAGTCAACAAGTCCTTGAATTTTTTGTGAGCCAAACATTGTACTAGGTACTTTGGGCATGCAAAAGAAGCCAAAAACCAAATTATGTGTGTTTTAAAAAAGAAAGAAAATGCAAATTTAACCATCTTCCAAATATGACTATTTTTTAATCAAGCACCTTGAATGTCATAGGTTTTTCATAAATGTATAAATGCATTGCTGTATTTATTTTTAGCCCAGATTAGCCTCGAACTTGTGACCCTCTTACTCAGCCTCCAGAGCACTGGGATTGTGGGCATGTACTGTCATGCCCTGCTATATCGCTATATTTATTAATGTTGAGTGGTATGTGGTCTTAAGTGGCAGTTATTATTGTCCAGAGAGAGGGGGAATGGGGCCAGATATCAACTCCTGTGATGACTGTGTGGGATAGGATTCTCACCAGTATGAAGACATACCTAAAATGTAAATAGTTACAGTGTGTGACTTAAAAGCACTCCACATAACAAATGTCACTAAATGTCACTCAAAAGCCTTAAGTGACCCTGCCTACATACTGTTCTCCAGGTCTTAAAACTTCCTTTAAAAAAAAAAAAGTAGTTACATAACTCCGATTAGTATTTAAATTATTTCTTCCTGTTTTTTTCCTCTCTCCTCTCTCTCTCTCTCTCTCTCTCTCTCTCTCTCTCTCTCTCTCTCTCTCTCTCTCTCTCTGTGTGTGTGTATACAAATGCTTGTAGAGCCCAGAGATTGATGTTGGGTATCTAACTTAACTGCGTTCACCCACTTTTTTTTTTTTTTTTTTTTTTTTTGAGACAGGATCTCATTATGTAGCTCTGCCCATGACTGTCCTGGAACTGACCTCTAACTCACGGGATCCGCCTGCCTCTGCCTCCCAGCTGCTGGGATCAAAAGTATACAGGATCACTCCAAACTCTCAATATTTTTTTTTCTTTTCCTTTCTTCCTTTCTTTCTTTCTCTCTTTCTTCTTTCTTTTCTTTTTTTTTTTTTTAGATGGGATCTCTCACTGAACTTGGAACTCACCATTTGAGCTGTGCTAACTGGTCAGCAAGTCCCCAGGATGCACCTGTCTCCACTTCCCCAGCACTGGGGTTAGTGAAGCTTGCCACTATGTCCTATTTTTTACATGGATGCTGTGGATTCAACTCAGGAGTTCCAGGTCTTCAAGCTTTCAAAGCAAACACTTTATCGACTGAGCCATATCCCCAGCCCTGGTTCTTCTCTGTACTTGTACCTGTTGAGGAAAATCAAAAGCAAGTTAAATTATACTCTAGCAAGAATGTAAAATTGAGTGGGAAACTCTCTTCAAATAATTACTAAATTCTTGAACATCCATACAGAGTTATAAGAAAATCTCAGACTTTTGGATTAAGGGTTCACAGTTCAGTGTTAGAGCACTTACTTACCTAGCATGCACAAGGCCATGGGTTCAATTCTCAGTAAAGTAAAGAAAGTAAAGTTCAGGCCTTTGTATTAATAATTTAACAGTCTTTTAACATATATTTGTAGCAGAAATCTTCCCCATTAGTGTGCTCATTTTTGTTTCTTTTCTAAATATTCATTCATGCTATTATTTCTCTGTTTATATGAATACAATACAACACAGCTCTGTTGACTCAATAAT